GGAACCTTGCATAACCTTGTCCACAGGGAGAATCTTCTCCCTAAGTATAAAGCGCCTCCAACCTTGTTTGTAATTTCATTCGGATGCATCCTACTGCTTTTCCGATGAGGAGGCCAGAACACAAGGTCTTGTCACAGGCCTCTGCAAACAATCAGCAAGAGCCCACCAATATCCAGACACTTGGAGACAGCAAGGTTTAATGAAGCAAAATTTGGAGTTCTTTTCCCTTATTGTGAACTCAGAAACAGCCTAGGAATAATTATACGTGGAAGATTCCTGATTTAGAGACAACTTTTAAAGAAGAGGAGAGAAAGCAGACATAGAGCTAGCCCAATTCATGATTTCAGAGCAAGAAGTCCTCATAGGACCATGTTAGCTTTCTCAAGAAACCCTTCCCCAAACAGGTATTTGGCCTGAGGATTCATCTTGAATGAATGAATGGAGATTAAAAGTAATCTTTGCCAGCATTTGTACAGCACTCACCGTCTGCTTGTATGCCCTTCTTCAGTGACACTATGAAGCCAAATGCGTGTCAGTGCTTGCTCCAGCTCTCCTTTGTCATCCTGGCTCATGCCTCAGTTTCTTCATCTGTGGGAATAAAGCCATTGCCTACCTTCCCCAGGCGTAGTGCCTGGCACGTAATGATGGCTCCATGACCATTAGCCGAAACTACCTTCACATAGTTATTACCCCCACATTCAGGGAAAGGTTAACTCTTCAGCCACTCAAGGGCCACTGACATATGTGCGATCATGGACAAAATGGCTTTGGCCCATTTCCAAAGGTTGCATATTATCTCAGGGTCATAGCCACAGTCCAGAGGGGTCTTCAGCAGCATTCCTGGTGATGTCAGAAAAGATAGGCGAGAGCTTTCCAGGAAACAGAAAGAACACATGTAGTCTAGGGCCTAGTTTCTCCAGGATCACAGCTTTAGGCTTAAGTCCATACTGCCTATAAATCAAGGACTTGCAGATCAGGAGAATGAGGTGGTAAAATGTGACCAGTGGAACCAGGGCAAATTTCTGCCATGTTAGTTGTGAGGGCCTCCAGTCTTTGTGCAGTTTGGTAAAAACTTTAGATAGTCCCCTGCCTCTTGTACAAACCACTGTCACCACCACCACCACTGTGGGCTGTCCCAGCAAAGCTGTTTTAAGACTAACCCCATGCTAGCTTCAGAAAGAGTCAGCCTCTTTCAGGAACAGTAGTTAAAAATAGGAAATGCTCACCTCAGAGAATTCCCTCCTGACTAACTGTATTAATACATATGCACATGTGTGTTTTGTACATGGTCAGCTTGGGGGTGTTCTTCAAAGCATGCTTTTCCCAAGCCTCCTCCTTTATGTAAAGTGAAATGTTAGTCAATATTGTTCTCCAGGACCCTGTTGGCTTGGCCCCTCCTCCCAAGAGGGAGTAATGTGGTGATCCTGCTTTGCACAGCCCTTCTACCTTGGGTCAGCTGAGCAATACCCTCCAATATCCTATTCTGGGGCTTTCTTCAGGTTTGGTAAAATGTATCATCAAAATACCTCAGATTTTCATTAAACTTTTTTGATATTTTGGATATCGGCAGACTATCTGATCAAGTGGGTCAGTCCTTTGCAGGGGGACTGGGAATCCACTTATCCACCTTCTCACCTCACTCAGGCACTAGCACAAGTGGTTACTGAGCACCCCTGGGTGGTCCGACTTGTGCTAAGTCCTGGAAAGACAAATAAGGCAGCCTGCTCTCCCTCCTCACGCCGTGTCATTTTTAGAGTTCACACTAGGCTTAGCACATAAAGTAGGTCAGGACAATCATATAAAGCGACTGCTGCAAGGCTCTAAAATGGGGATGGGATGGGGTGGAGCAGGGGCCATCTACGGTGGCTGGGTAAAGATCAACAAAAATGTAGAGACTGTTTCACCCTCTGCTCCCAGAATCCACAGCAGGAGAAAGGGGCGGGGGGAGGGGTAGTGGAGTCGTTCCCTTGCCTCAGCTCTGAAGGCTAAGGCCAAGTGGCCTTTGAACGCCCTTAGCCCTACCTGCAGGATCGCCTATTTTCCAGCCTTGCCTGGAGGTTTGGAGATGTCCTATAGAGGGCGCCGTTTGCCGGACTTTGGATGCAGTCCAGGGCCCAAGAAAGCAGAAGACACATTCCTCGCCAGAGGGCGAGTGAACCTCTGCTTTCGAGCTCAGGGCTCAATACAGGAGCTTTCTGGAAGCAAAAGAAAAGATCTACTATACAAACGCTGCTATCCAAGCCCAGCATCCCAAAGGCGATGGACGGGCTGAGGATACTGACACCTAAAAAGTCCTTTCGTGGTTAAAATGCGCGCACGCGCGCGCACTTACCTAAACTCACCAGCTCACCTATAGGCCACTTCGGAGACAGGGTTGGGGCGACAAAGGAAAAGTGAGGGTCGAAACATTGCGCGACAAGAGCCGGGAGCCGCTGTCCTGTACCTTGTTTTTGCCAGGAAGTTCCTTTCTCATCTAAATCTAGTTTCGGAGTTGAGTTCAGCCAAGAGCTCACCCACCCAGACAGAACCCACGCCCTTTTCCAGACCCTCAGCTGTGCAGCTCTTCTGGATATAGGTGGGTGGGGAGTTGTTTCTTGTTTTTGTTTTCTAATGCCAGGGATGGAATCCAGGGCTTGAGTTTACTACGCGAAATTCTCTGCCTCTCCCGGGAGCCAGAGCCTTTCCATTTCGGTTTAAAGGCCACTTCGGTGCGTCCGAACTTTAGCAAGTTTGCGCGCATCTGACGGCACAGCTCCCACGCCACGCCTGCGGGGACCTCTCCTTGACGCTCCTTCGCCACCTGGTGTGCGGTGTGCAGGCGCTGTGCCCCGAGCTCGCATAGAGCTTCATGCATTGAGCGATCTCTGTGGTTAGGCAAAGAATGGTGTGCAGCACTGTTCGGTGACTCTGACCCCGACTCCTCTCCCATACACCTGTCTCCACCTGTAAACGTCCATTGTGAGAAACACCCGGCTTGAATTTCAGGGCTATGATTGGTTCCCACTCGGATTTTGGCTGGTTTACATTCCATAAACTCCGTAAAAGCTCAAAGGAATAATATTAATGTTTATGGAAGTGCCACTTACGGAGCTTCCAGATTGCCAAAGCAAAAGTAGAATTCGCTACTGCAGATGAATGTTTGCAAAACATTAAACGCGACAATCGAAGTTTTGTTGGGGAGGTTCTGACACCCTAGGACTGAAAAATAAAACACATCTACTTTTCACTTGGGAGCCCAAAACGGCCGCGCCTGCCAGTGTAGAGCAGTTTTGAATAGGGCAAGAACTGGGAATAACGAAAAAGAAAGTGGAGAGGAAAATGAAGGAGCTACCAGAAGATCTCAGGTGTACGAGAAGCTTCAAGTGGGGCAGAGGGGAGTGAGAGCAATTTGCCACCCTTCTCTGTCTCGGGAAAAGGACCTCTCCTCAAAAATAATTCTGATCTATTTGACGCTTATATCTAGAGTCTGAAAACGCCTGTTTCTCAGACTTCTCGTGGGACCCAGGAGATGTTTTTTAAGACTATGTAATTGAATGACCTTTCACCTAGCTGTTCCTGAGGGGCCCGGTGTGGCTCTCCCCGGACTTAGAAGCCCTTGGGACTTGCAGCGAATGTCCCTCCCACCGCCACACGACTGCGATTGAGGAAGGTAGTCCTCTACGCCTTTTGGTTCACCCCTCCTCTCCCCAGTTTTTAAAGCATTTAGGCAGCTCTGAAGTCCAGCCGGAAGAGACTTCTTAGAAGAAAGTGCTGCCTTCCTTCGGGATCGCAGGTTGGAGATGATCCTCCAGGCATGGGCACCAGCATCCTAAGGAGAGGCGAGCCTATTCGAGTGCAGCCTTCGGTGCGAGGACGCGGCTACCCCAGCGGCCCCACGGAGCGACGCGAGGGCGTCGGCCCTTCCTGCGTGTTCACAGGGGTGCGCAGAGACGCACACCCACTCTTGCTCCCCTGGAAGGCTCACTCTTAGGTTTAGCAAGGCCAAAGGCCAAGGGTACGCGGATTCCCGAGCCCGCCAACAATGTAGAGACTCGCTACCGGATTCCTTTCTAGTAGCTAGACTGTGGGTGGGGAACCAAATCCCTCTCTTCCTGGACGCGCCCTTCTTAGAGCAAGTTTTAGGTGCAATGCTGAGGCCACCAGACCCCAAAGGGTAGAAAAGTGCCAAGTTCAGCACGGGCCGAGGTGGCGTCCTCCCTCCTGGCCGGTGCTGCTAGGCTTTCTCGCAGCGGGCTCCTGCCGAGTCCTTGGGGGAGGGGAACGGCAGCTGCAGGCGCGAATAACCCCAAAGTGACCCGGGCGGGCCTAGTCCGCCCATCCCTCCTCCCGCAGGGTTAGAGGCGGGAAGCTGGTCTCTGAGCCGCAGAGCGGAGAAGGAAGCTCGGGCTCTGGGCTCGCGGTGTCAGTATGCTCCGGCCGGCCGGGGGCGCCGCTGGCTCCGGATGCCGCGCTCGTCTCCAGCGCTTGTAGGAGCGCTCCGAGTGCCTCTTTAGCGAGAGCCAATATCCTTTTGTGCTAATAGGTTTGTCCTCATTTGCTGCCTAATTGGACTATATAAAGCCAATAACAGGCGGGCTCTTATAGCCCGAAGCCAAAGCGCCAAAATCTGAGGAAAGTGAGGAGGGGGGTGGTAGCGGAGGCGGCTGCCGGGCCCAGGCTCGGCTGCGCCTTCGTCTGTCTAATCCCATTTGCCATTGTACGCGCCCAATCGCCGTATACTCCCCGCATTTAACTTGGATGACATTTTGATTTCATCATTAGCATCCGGCGCCGGATTGACGCAGCCCCAAGCCGGGGACTGCTCTTGCTGCCTCCTCCCCGGGAGCATAGCCGCCGCCGAGCCGCCTCGCTCCCTCCGAGCAGCGGCCAGGTCGCTCCCCGCCCCCCGGGACCCCTCCCCCATGCCAGCCCGCCCCGGCCGGGTCCTCACCCCGCCCTCCCGCGGCTCGGTTTGCGCCCGGGGCGGCCCCCGACTTTGCGCCCCGTAGTTGAGTCCCGTTTATGTTCTGATTTCCGGCCGTTCGCCTGCTCCCCCGGCCGCCTGCCCGTCCCACTCGCTCCCTCCCGGGACTCGGAGGAGAGGGGACCATGCCGGAGCCCGGGCCGGAAGCTTCGGGCACCGCGAGCACTCAGCCCCCGGCGCCGCCGCCGCCCCTGCCTCCTGCGCCCAAGGAGTCCCCATTTTCCATCAAGAACCTGCTCAACGGAGACCACCACCGGCCGCCCCCAAAGCCTCAACCGCCCCCTCGGACTCTCTTCGCGCCCGCCTCGGCAGCCGCTGCCGCCGCCGCCGCTGCCGCCGCAGCCAAGGGGGCCCTGGAGGGCGCCGCGGGCTTCGCGCTCTCGCAGGTGGGCGACCTGGCTTTCCCCCGCTTTGAGATCCCAACGCAGAGGTTTGCCCTGCCTGCGCACTACCTGGAGCGCTCCCCGGCCTGGTGGTACCCCTACACCCTGACCCCCGCCGGCGGCCACCTCCCGCGACCTGAAGGTACCGACCTCTCTTTGAACTTTCATTCTCTTCTCCTCCGCGCGCCCGTCCCGTCCCCGCCCGGCGCTGTTTCCACCACAGATCTGGGACCCCCTCTCCCGCAAACCCGATGCTTGGCTATCTTCCTCCGGCCCCTGGCCTGCATCTCCTGCCGGCGCGCTCACTCGCGCTGTCCGGGAATCCAATCCCACTTGGTGAGAAAATAGGCGGAGTTGGAGTCCCGGGCGCGTCGCTTCCCGGGGAAAGTGGCCTCGGGCATGAAGGGGGTGGCTTCCGACAGCTGGGGCTGGGAACATTGCCTAGGAGGGGTGGACTCCGGTGGACCCAGGCGAAGGGTGAATCTTCTCTCCCGGCCTTGGCAGAGGAGCTTAGGGAAGGGAAGGTGCGGTCGCGCTACTATGGTCTCTTTGAAGGTCCTCTGGAGGAGGGGATACCGGGACTCGGCGCCCCTACCCCAGACTAGCCGGGGCGGGAGAGGCCCTTGAGAGTGTTCGGGGGCTAGGGCCTGGAGGCCGGTACGGATGGAGCGTGCTGCCTCCAGGGCCTGGGCCTCGCTCAAGGCTGAGTCTGTGTGTGCGTCCGTCTGTCTGTGTCTCCCCAGCCTCCGAGAAGGCCCTTCTACGAGACTCCTCCCCCGCCTCAGGCACTGACCGTGACTCTCCGGAGCCCCTGCTCAAGGCTGACCCTGACCACAAGGAGCTGGACTCCAAGAGCCCGGACGAGATCATTCTGGAGGAGAGTGACTCGGAGGAAGGCAAGAAGGAGGGCGAGGCGGCGCCGGGTGCGGCCGGAGCGAGCGTTGGGGCGGTGTCCGCCACGCCGAGCTACGAGGACTGGAAGAAGGGCGCTGAGAGTCCGGAGAAGAAGCCCGCGTGTCGCAAGAAGAAGACGCGCACCGTCTTTTCGCGCAGTCAGGTCTTCCAGCTCGAGTCCACCTTCGACATGAAGCGCTACCTGAGCAGCTCCGAGCGCGCCGGCCTGGCCGCCTCACTGCACCTCACGGAGACGCAGGTCAAGATCTGGTTCCAGAATCGCCGCAACAAGTGGAAGCGGCAGCTGGCGGCGGAGCTGGAGGCCGCCAACCTGAGCCACGCTGCAGCGCAGCGCATCGTGCGCGTACCCATCCTCTACCACGAGAACTCGGCCGCTGAGGGCGCGGCGGCCGCTGCTGCAGGGGCCCCGGTGCCGGTCAGCCAGCCGCTGCTCACCTTCCCGCACCCCGTCTACTACTCGCACCCTGTGGTCTCGTCCGTGCCGCTGCTAAGGCCGGTCTGAGGTCCGAGAGAGGGGAGGTGGAGGGAGTGCCCGGGCACCTTCCCGGATCCCCGAGGAGACTGGGCCAGACTGGGCCGGGCGAGGGTGTGGAAACGTCCGGCGGCTTTGGGAACCGGGGCTTCGCGCACTGCCTGTCCCTCCCCTATCGGTAGCATTTTGTAAGTATTTGCAATGCATTTTCGTGCAATTCATCCCTAATGAATTTGAGGCGCTTCTCCTCTTATTTCAGATTTTGGTACTAATTAAGAGAAAGCAGGAAAATGATAACATTTCCAGGTCAAATATTTTGGCTGAAAGCTTTTGTGAAATGTGCAGCCCTATCCCTAAATTTGCATTGCGCTGTGACTATTTGGTTTTCTTTTTATAGAAGGAAAGTAAGCGCAAAACCCGAATCCCTTTAGTTTATTCACTTTCTGTAGAATGTCCACAATCTAGAGGGAAAGAATTCATAGGGTAGTACTATTTCTGGATTTCAGGGTGTGGTTCTTCATTCCCACCCCTAGCCAGTTACCTCTCCGGTTTTCAGAATCCGAGCAACCTCTCTTAGGAACCCTGTTTTTGGCTTCCTTTCTCTCCAGAAAAAGTCTGGCAATTAACCCCTTCATCTCTCTCACTTTGTGATCAAAGAATTCCCAAAATGTTTAAAGGGAAGTTAAACAGCCAAAAACCAGGACTCTGAAAATGCAAACAATTACTCTGTCGGGTTTGAGCGGTCTTATTTATTGGTAGCATTTATTTGGGGAATTTCACTTACCAGTAAATTATTAATAGTACTATTACTTTGTTTCCTGTTTTTGAGAGGATGGTTTCAACATTTTTAACTATATCTTTTATCTTCTTCCCTACGTTTTAATTCTGCAGTATCTATTTTTTTTTGATCTGTGCAATATTGTACAAAATTTCCTGAGAGCCCTGCTCCTTCCTCCAGGAGGGAAGTAGACTTTTTCGCAGTGTAATCACAGTCATTTGTGTAGAATGAGAAAATTAAACAGAGGAAAAGGGGGAAGGATGAAAACAAGGATAGGTAGCAATGCTCAAAGGAGGTAGGCATACTGGAGCGCTTTAAGTGAAGGACAATCAATTTAGGAGAATTTTAATTTATTTGATAAATGTACAGATTTCTTGTAAAATCCACCCTCAAGTCTGCGGGGCTTCCCGCTCTGCCACCCAGTCTGTTTTCTTTCTGTCTGCTACACCTGTTGGTCTGCAGTAGTTTGTTTCCTCTAATCTCTCTTTCCTCTGCCAGGATCAGTCCCTTTTTAAGAAAAAAGAGAAAAAAAAACTTCACAAAATATTGTTAATGTTGTTGTGAAATTTAATTAATTAAAAAGAAAAAACGAAGCTTTTCCTGTTGCCAGAGTCTGTAACTTTGGGTAATTTTTCCCAGAGCAGGTGTCTCCAAGACTTTTTGGTCTGGTTCTCCGGCTGCCTCTGTGCCTAAGTCTGACCTAGATAACCACCCCTGTAATTCAGCAGGCAGCAGAGACAGAGGCTGCTTTGTTTGTGTGGAGGGCCACTCTCTCCCCTGTATCTTCCAAGGTTTGAAACACCCTGACAGCAGGGAAGACCGAAAGGCGGAAGTAAAGACTTAGCAGCACCTAGTTTTCCAAGATTGAGCGAAGCAACAGCCACTTTAGAGTTCTATTTCTGAGCATATAGCAGCAGCCTTGCATTGCGTTCTGTTCCTAAGATGTGGTTCTTTCAAGAGCAGCAGTTCCCAGGCAGGGTGTCATTAAGATACCTAGCTAAGAGAGTGGTGGTTCCAGTTGCCCCTAGAGGTGTTAGAGGAAAGAAGCGAGTAAATTGAGTTTAGCTGGAGCAGGAGACTGAGCATACCCTCTGGGAAAGGCCTGGTGAAGAGAGAGCAGCCTAGAAAAAGCCAGCAGGCTCTTAGGACAGGGACTATTTCTAATACGGGAGGCTTTAGCGGTACTTAAGGGAATTGCTCCTGCCCTGGCTGCTGAAGCCTGGGCACTGTCCTGATACCTTAGGTGCTAGGGAACAGAAGCCACCTGGCTGCATCTGTGGCAGCAGAGAGGACCCAGTCCCTCTCCAGTTAGAATATCTCTGTCCACCGATGCCCAGTACCTTGAGGGAAGCCTTTCTGGGTCCCCACATCCAGGCCAATGCCCAGAAGCACGACGCTGGTTGCTGCCACGCGCTGCCAGGCGCCCAGCCACCGCTGTCTTGTTGCATAGTGCTGCGACCTGGAAGAGCTGGTCCACCCTCGGAAGCAAGTGTTCAAGCTCGGAGGCCAACCCAGCTTGTCGCCAGCCTTCAAGCTGGGGATGTGCGCACATCACCCTTGCAGTGCGCTTTGAAGCTTGCGAGCCAAAAGGGGGAGACAAGGAAAGCGAAGGCCCTGAAGCTTCCGGAGCGAAAGCACACCGCCAGCAGCGACCGCTGGAGAGCGCCTTTCAGCGCTCCGGTCTGTAGTGCGTCGCCAGTCGCCTCAAATTCAGTGGACACAATTGATTCCACTGTGGCCGAAACGTTGTCGGGTATCACTTTCTGTTGATGGAAAACTGCCCCCAAATAAACCAGCATGCTAATTCACTGCAAAATTTTCACCTGGGTTCCAGTGAAGATAGATCTCCCTTTATTTCCCTCTGGTTTGGGATAAAAATGAGGGCATGTGTCGTAAATGAAAAATAAACAGAAATTCAGGGTCAAAATATGTTGTTCCTTGTGTTACCTGCAAACATAGTGATGCCTTCTACTGTTGGCAATACTAACTGCCCGACAGGCCAGTAACAGCTCATTAAAAACAATGTTGCAATAGCAAACACGTCCTTAGATTTTACAGCCAGAGCATGATGTTATCAAATGCCAAGAAAACACTTCTTTATTTGTTTGGATTCTAGAAAATGTTTCTTGACTGACCCAGTCTTTACAAAATCAAGAAATAACTGGTTCTCTACAACTACAGGTTATGCTTTGCCCTGCTCCATGCTACCTTTCTTTCCCTCCTATTAGGGCGCTTCCCTACACTGGGCTGTTTGTCTTTGCCCAGGGCCAAGATGCTGCCCGAGGGGAGGAGGTGATACAGCCTGGGGACCAGCTGTGTGAACCTAAGAACCTGCCCAAGTAGGAAACCTCCCTTCCTTCTTGCTGATCTGGGTCCTTATAGTTCTTGCACTGCAAGACTGGAGCTGGGTGCAGGGATGAGGACTACAAAAGCCTCTCTGTGTAGGAAGCATCCTAGGCTGCACTACAAGTTTTTCTGTCAGGAAAGACCAAGAAACCATTTGATGGGACTGTCATATCTGGAGAACTGGCTGGTAGGACTTTATTGCCTCACCTAGACAGGTCTCCTGGAGCCACTCACAAAAAAGGGGGTACCTAAAATTTTCCCTGAACATTCCATAGGAAAAGCCAGAGCAATTTTGGGGGAACACTGTGTGGACACCCCATTTTGTTCTTTTACTCTTCCTTCAGATTGTAGAAGTCTCTCTCTCTCTCTCTCTCTCTCTCTCTCTCTCTCTCTCTCCTCTACCTTCAGATCTTTCAAGATCTGTACCTCAGTTAATCTTTGTCAATGCAAATGATTTAGGCTACACATCTAAATCCTTTCTACGTTGCCCGCATATAAACAACATAGGATCTGTTTATGCTTGACATAAACATTCATCGATGCGTGCACTCACTTTATACTTCTAGACAGACATGTGTTGGTGGGATTCTAGCACTGACACCCACATAAGAATTTAGCATCACTGCGATGGCTAAAGCACAGATGTAGCCACATACTCTGTACCTGGATAACTGGTTTTCTCCACTGGCCCCAGGGAAAGGCAAACTGGACAAAATCCTGGAAATCTATCAGCAGGGAGTCCAGTGGCCTCCCACACTGCAGCAAAAGCCTGAAAATCTCAGGACAAGTTTGCCTCCATTGCCTCCTCCCAAGTCACTTGGTCAAACTAGCTGACCTAACTCTCACCCACCACCACTCTGATACTCCTAAGAGCCAAGACCTCCTTCCATGCTCTCCTCATGGTGTCAGGCTTTGCTGCTCTGAGCATTTTTGAGCACCTCAGAATGCCTCCAGGCCCTGGGAGACCAAGGAGCTAGTGCTTGAACTGTTTCTGTTGGCAACACAGATGTATTTCTTTTATTTGGTAGTAAATAGTAGGTGTGTGTACATCAAACAGCAGCAAGACAGATATAAACTGCCCCCCTGCCAGTGGTGCTCATTCTGAGTGGAGACACCCCCTGGGTAGATTCCTGTAGGCCAGAGCTAGAGGTCACACCAGAGAACCACAGATCACCCACTTCTCCTTGCCTGAGTTTGGAAGTGGGATTGGGAGAAAGAGGAGGCAAAAAGGTCAGTGTGATTTGCTTACCTAGCTGTGTGCTGGGTAAGAAAGATGGGGGTGTGGGTAGGAGGCATGGGACCCCTAGGACTTCAGTCTGGGGTCTTCAAGCACTTTGGTGAGGCCTAGTGATGTTGGTCCTCCTTGCCCAGGACCACTCATGGATGCTTTCACCCCTGTTTTCATGGGACACCTGAACTCCCCTGGAGAGCTCTGTGGGGCCTGAAACTTTGCTGGGCAAAGCTTTATTTCCCATAAGACTTCATTTTGCCTTTCTCTCCAGACTTTCAATGTCTTATGGCCCAGCAACCTGGCCCAGGGCCTCCTCCCTTTAGCAGTCAAAACAGATTCCACAGAGTAGCTAAGAAAAGCCCCCTCTACTGGGCCTAATATGAAGGAGTCAGAGAACAAGAACTGTGGAGACTCAGAGAAATTCCCCATACATCCAGGAAGACCAAGGGAAATCCCTTCCCAACACAAGTGATTTTGAAGGAGCCACATTTAATACTCCTGCTCTTAGCTTCTTGCCCACTTTCTGACTTGTGCAAACCTTTCCTGACTGTAAGCTTTAAGGGATACATTGTATTTGGGTGAATGTCTCTGGATATGTGCATGCTTGTGTGTGCAAGTGTGCACATCTTAGTGTGTAGAGCAGATAGAACAGAACTTTTGACCTGCAAACAGTTGGGCGCTGGGTTGGAAGGTACTGAACAGTGGAAAAGATGACTAGGATGGGTGTACACTGCTGCATACCAGCTCTGTTCGATGCCTTCTATGGTGATCTTGGATTGAACTTTAGGCTGCACTTCTGGTACAGAAGTAGCAAGAAAAGAAGATGGGGGGTGGGGAGCGACAAGTGGGAAATCCAGTGGGACAATGGCACAACTCTAGCTCTCTCTGGGACCTGGTTATTCAACTGTGAATCCTCTCTACCCTTCCACCCCCAGAATGCCAAAGGATATGTTAGCACACTGGGCCATTTTTGAATCTGGAGCTGAGGGATAGCCAGAGGCTGCAGAGTATCTCATTGGAAATTTTCCAGCGGGTTCCCATTGGCTGTATTCATCCAGGTGCTTTCCTTGCCTGATACTCTACATTAGGTGCCCTGGGGCAAAACTGCCCAAAGTCTCCAAAGGGATCCCTGGGGGTTTCTGGCACTGCAGAGGAAAAGGAGCCTGGAAAAGGCGTCGCTCTCCAGCACAGGGTGGCTCCAGAGTGCCAAAGAGAGCAAGACGCACCCGTCACTGAGGCAGAAGTAGTGAGGTGGAGTCACCTGGTGTGCCTCACCCGGCGCTGATGTCTTAAAGAAAAATAAAGGATCCTCATCTCTCCTGAGCTCTTTTGCTGCCCTTGCCCCCCTTGGTGATGGAGTGCACGCATCAGATTTTCATCAAAGTTCTATTAAGTGAAACATAGGTTGCAGGGCACCCTTTGATTGAAACAGTTTAAATTTTAATTGTGTTTTTAATTTGACATATAGTTGCAGAAAGGAATGACACTGCGTCGCCAAGGGGCGGTCGATTTTCTTAATTTCTCCCAGAGGAATTGATGAGTCTATCAGACCACTAGATTGGAAACCCATTAAAGCTCTCTGGTTAGGCTGTTAATTGGAACTTGATGGATGTGGGCGGGGGGTGTTGGGACTCGCCTATGCTGATCCAATCTTCATGACTTTCTGTTTTCCAATAAATTACACAATTCATTTTCCAGCCGCAGATTACATAAATTGTACACCTCTGGGGCTCTCTTTTTCAAATAGGGAGGCCTTTTCCCCAAAAGCCTATTGCGAGATGTCATTTGCACCAAAGAAGGAACAGCAGAGGCCCTTGAATGAAAATCGAAACATAATCAACGTTTATACTTAGAAAATTTATTGAGATCATTTTCTCTGGTATTTCCTTATTTTAAAGTTTGGACGCGCCATATATCATAATCCACTCGTGTGAAGGGGGGCAGACTGTGTTTAATATTTATCGAAGCTTGATTCCAAGATCAAACTTGTTTATGACTTCATCTGTCATTTCGGAGGGAGCCTTCTTCCACTATTACCCAGCTCAGCCAGCCTATTTCCCAACTGCCGCAGAACAGAGAGGATCAATTTTTATTAGGCTCCTCGGCAAGTTTGCTCTGGGCCGCTTTAATATTGAGCAGCAGCATAATCTCGGGACCTAAACTTTAAGCGTTCTTCCAGTCTTGGAAAGTTTATCATTCCTTGGAACTCAGTTATGCCTAATTCCTAGGAAGGGGGTGATCCTGAAGAAAGAGATAGGCAATCCTTCAGAAGTAGGGAGGGAGGAGCTATCCTGAGTCCAGAAGGATGGGTTGTTGCCGGGTTAAAGCACTGACACGCTTGAAGGCACAGAGATCAGGTGGGGGGGAGGAGGAGAAGGGGGAGTTGCAGCTACGTTGGCCCAGGATAGGGAGTTTGGCCTTTTGCGCTCCTAGTAAAGTCTCTGGATGCCTGGATGCTGGACAGGGGTAGCAGATAGCAGACCTACTATCTTGACCCTTACAGCTCCTGCGGGATGATTGCTGTCGGTATTCAAGGACTAAGGGTGACCAACCAGTCCAGGGGAACCCAGCAGAGCTCCAAGCTGTGGGGAAATAGAGCGGGGAGTCTGCCAAATTTTCCACTGCGTCTTCCTCCCCAAGCCTCTCTGTGTGTGTGCGTGTGCGTGCCTGTGCATGTTTGCTGAATGAATGCGTGTTATGCAAGTACGTGCTCACAGATTAAAAGGTGAGATGTGTTGAGGATGGAGGAGGTACCTGTGAGTGGCCCAGATGTTTAGAGCCAGTAAGGGGACGGGGCAGGCGGAACTAGCCTTAGGAGGGGTAGGAGTGGCCTCGCAAGCTTTCCTATTTTTCTGGTTTAGTCCTCAAGCCCAGCTCCCCGGTCTCTGGGGAATTACTGGCCTGGGAGCTGCATCTCTAAGACTAACATCAGCTGTTCCGTCGCCTCGGACGGTCTCTGCCCTGATGTAGAACTGCTCTTTGGGCTCTTCACACCTTCTTCCAACACTGTCTGTAGTCTCCCCTGCAGCAATTCTCCAAGCTCAAGGCCAAAGCCTGCTTCTCCCCTCTAACCGCTGCCAAGGGTGCAGTACTGTCAGCGAAACAACTCTGAGCATGTTTTACCTCCCCTGCTTGGGTTGGTCAAACCACCCCAGCCTCAGTTACTCCTTCTGTACAGTGGGGTGTGTCAGAGAGGAATCTGCCTCACGTTTGCTGCGAGGACTAAAGTGACACAGAGTGAGGAGCTTCCTGTTCGTTCCTGGCACCAAGCATTGGGGAGCTTAGAAAGGTTTAACCAACTCCTGCCCCCCACACGTGCTTAATCCCGGCTGGTAGCTCCCGGCTCCGCTCCGCAAGTTGGACGACCACTTCTCTCTGGAGGCTGGGTTGGCTCGGAGTGCCTAACAGAGGCCAGCTGTTAGCGAGAGAGTTGGGTATTTCTTTCCTAGAATCTCCTTCTACTCTCCAAAAGCGAGAGAGCGCGCCAGAGGGGCTGCAACAAGGCCCGGGAGTCTGCGCCGCAGCCGCGCAGAGGAGGACGCACAAATTGTATTTCAGCGCCGGGTCCTTCCGGGTTAATGAGCTGACACCATGATTAAAGCTGACCATTTGTAATGTGTCTCAACCCCGACGCCGAGCCCTGAAGAGGTTAATGCGGTGACGGAGGCCGGCACCTGCCCCTCGCCAGCCTCCCGGGCAGCGCGACGCACAGCCTCCGGCCCCCACCCCCTCGCCTGCTCCTTGTCCCGGCTGCGCTGCGGACTCCTAATCAATTAGCCCATTAAAGAGACCTTCGAGGAGTTAAGTAGGCAGGGTTCTGCAACGGGCAGGGCCGCAGTCGGTAACTCACCGAGGCTAATGATATTATAAGCGCTTTACTCAATAACCCCGGAGCTGTGCGGGCGAGGAAGGAACTGCACCGTCATGGCGCAGCGTCTGGACATTTATGGGGCTGATCCCGCAGTCTCTTTATCTTTGGCTACCTTTGGCTTGCACTGTAGTGTCTGGCCTCCCGGAACCTCTTGGTTGAGCAGTGTGAGGACTCATTCCAGAGTTGGGGATGCTTGGGCCCTTGAAGCCTTGCTCACCCGTTTCCATATAGCTTGTGTAGACGACTGTAGCCTCAGACCCTTTTTGCCCGCTTGCATCCGCATGATTCTAGATCAGATAATAGCTGGTGTAAAAAAGGAGTGAAAGCCAGGGCTTACAGAAGCGGCGAGATGACAGGGAACCAAGGTCTATTCACCCACCCTCCCCATCTCCCAGTTCCTGGCTGGGTCCTGGGAACTTGGACCACACAACAGCCTCTGTGAGTTCGGCATCCATCACCTCCCTCAGTTTTAGGAAGGAGAAAACCAAAGCTCATAAAGGCTAGGTATCGTGTGTGTCCTAGCCACTCAGCTAGGATTTGAATGAACTCTGCCCAATTCTAAAGCCGTGTTGCTATAACCACCTCCTTCTTGAGGTGAGGTGTTCGGTTTGTTTTGTAATTCAGAAATCTCTAATTTATAAAAATAAAAACGAAAACTCAGGAGTTGTGAGGCGATCCGCAGGCTATTTAGTAAAGGGCTAGGAAGTCACTGTTTAACGCTGCTAATGCTTCCTAATATTCTGGTGCTTTTCCATCCCTACCTGAGGTAGTTTTCAAAACCGAGAAGATGCTAACGAGTTCATTTCACCGGAAGGCAGGCAAGCTTTAATTAAGACCAGACTTGTTCAAGTTAACGCGCAACGTAATAAATAGGTGGTGTTGGGACTTGAACTGGGTTCTCTGGATTCGAGATTTTGGGCTTTCCCATCCCTAAAGTCCTATGGCCCATTAGTCCCTGATACGGGTGGGTTCACAGGCGGGGAAGGGCCGAAGTTGTCTGTTCCTGGGGCTCCCAGTCACATTCAAGGTAAAAGCATCAGTTTGAGATCCCTGGTTTTAACTCACTGTATATCGGTGGGAGCTGTTGCGGGGCGGGAGTGACAGCTCTGCCTTTGCCAGGGAGGAGAGGGATGGAGGTCTTGGAAGGGTCCCTCTCACAGTCTCTCAGAGGCGGAAGATCCTTCGCCCGTGCAGGTGAAGAGTTCGGATCCCCGTACTTTTTCAGTCTCTTGAGAGACCGGGTTCCGAGTCGCGCGGCAGAGAGTAAGAACTCAGGTTGGAATTTACGCTGCTTTTGGCTCTGGACGCCTCGGGACAGAACTAATGCTCATCGGGTTCTCTGCGTGCTTTGGGGGCTTGATCGCGCTGCTAGCCTGGCCAGGGCTTTTTGAAATTTTCCGGGGCCACTCCGCGGCGCTGCGATTGGCCGCACTCGGGTAACCTCTATGCAAATGAGGCCGCGCCGCCTCTGCGCCGCGGGAGACCCAGAGAGCTGGCGTGCTAGGAAGGGGCATTCGCACCCGGGTTGGGTGGGTGCACCAAGCCCGGCGGGCAGGGACCACAGCCGTCCCACGCGTGTGACCCACGCGGAAGGGACGCTTCGCCAGCCTCGCTGCCCCCCTCCCTCTGGCTGCGCTCCCTGCCCCTCCCCCCTGCCCGCCTGGCTGCCTGCCTGCCTGCCTGCCTGCCTGCACCACCTTCCACCCAGATCGGCTCTAAAGGGAGTTCTTGGTTTCCTCCGATTTCTTATGAACCCAGGATGGGCAGCAAGGAAGATGTGGGAAAGGGGTGTCCAGCGGCCGGTGGTGTCTCCAGCTTCACTATCCAGTCCATCCTGGGCGGGGGCCCCTCGGAAGCACCCAGGGAGCCCGTCGGCTGGCCGGCCAGGAAGCGCAGCCTGTCCGTGTCCTCGGAGGAGGAGGAGCCGGACGACGGCTGGAAGGCGCCGGCCTGCTACTGCCCAGACTCGCAAGGTCCCAAGGAGCCGGGCCCCAAGCATCATCCCCCCATCCCTTTTCCTTGTCTGGGTAAGGATCGCACATCGCCAGCCTGGCAGCGAGTGAGCGCGAGGGGAGTTAGGCTGTGGGCCCCACCGGGATTGCGGAGCCGGACCATCTTGAGCTAGACCTGTGTTCACTGGGAGTCTGGGAGAGGGGATGGGACACTGGCAATGTGGTGCCTCTTCGGCGGGCTTCGTTCGGGAGGCCAGGGGAACACACAATCTGAGCGAGACTTAGGAGTCTTTTGGAGGAATGGATTGTTAGGAAAGAACCCTAGCAGGCCAGGCTCTGGGTGCCGGTACATGTGGCTCTGCCTTCAATCATTTTGAATACGGGATACTTTCTGGACACAAAATCTGTCTGTCCCGTGTGAGTGCTGTCTCTGCTGCAATCTCTTTGCGTTTTTGCCTTCCTCTTTCTGTCTCTGTCACCCCCTGGGAATGATTAGCATTCTAAGATGATTGACAATTGTATGTTTTAGAGATGGTTCCCCTTTACAACATTTGATGAAGGAGGACCCGGCTTATTTGTCCTTAGCATGATTTACAAATAAATGGCCTGTGAAATGATGCCACCCTACAAAGCTGGAAAAGCACTTATTACAAGGCATAATCTCCTTTTAAATGATCTTAATGTTTTCTCTCCAGACCTCCTCCCCTACTGCCACCTATCCGGCCACGAGGGTGGGGGCACAGAGACCCTCAAATCAGCTGGGCTCCTCTTATGATGCTTTTAAAGACCTTTGGGTGGCAGCAAGAGGGAGAAGAGGAAGGGGTCGTTAAAATGGGGCCGAGGTTGCAGGCGTCTGCCAACCCCCTAGTCCTGGAAGAAGCTGGGGGTCTCCACAACTCTTTAACTCCAAGGCCTTCCTTTCTGTTCTCATTCTCAGGTACCTCGAAGGGCAGCGGAGGGGCTGGGCCCGCAGGCTCCGACCGTACGCCTTTTCTCTCCCCTTCGCACTCGGACTTTAAGGAGGAAAAAGAGAGGCTCTTGACCGCAGGCTCGCCCTCGCCAGGGCCTGAGCGGCCGAGGGACGGCGGCGCGGAGCGGCAGGCGGGAGCGGCCAAGAAGAAGACGCGCACCGTCTTCTCGCGCAGCCAGGTGTACCAGCTCGAGTCCACCTTCGACATGAAGCGCTATCTGAGCAGCTCGGAGCGCGCCTGCCTCGCCTCCAGCCTGCAGCTCACCGAGACCCAGGTCAAGACTTGGTTCCAGAACCGCCGCAACAAGTGGAAGCGGCAACTCTCGGCGGAGCTGGAGGCGGCCAACATGGCGCACGCGTCGGCACAGACTCTGGTGGGCATGCCGCTGGTGTTCCGGGACAGTTCGCTGCTGCGTGTGCCGGTGCCACGCTCCCTCGCTTTCCCTGCACCGCTCTACTACCCCAGCAGCAACCTCTCCGCCTTACCGCTCTACAACCTATACAACAAGCTCGACTACTGACTTGACCGCTGGCTGCGAGTCGCCTGCAGCCACCTGCTCTTGCAGGGCTCCAAAGCAAAAGGGCGTGTTTCCAGAAATATTAAGAAATACACCATGTGTATTCATTATCTCTTATTTATGGGCTCTGCCCTACTTCTTTGTTTCGTTCGGGTATTTATTGGCATTCCGCAAGCCAGGTCGCCTGCTTTCCACCAAACCAATGCGTTTTGAAAACCTTTTTTGGAGGGGGCTACTCTTGGGTCATAGCGGGAAAGGCAATTGACCAGATGGCTTTGGTTATTGGGGGGAAAAATTAGAAAACACCAACAAAAACAGATATACTTCTTACTCATATACAAACCTGGATATATGTACACCCACTCACACTTGGCCAAACCAAACCTTCTGGGGCTTCGGACGTTGATCCAATCACCTCTTTTCGTTTCCTTCATCCCGAGGATGGGTAGGGGCGAAATGGGGATAGTTCCGATCTGTAAATATTTTAAAAGAAAAAAAAATAAAACATTTTAAACATCGTTGCTAAGGAGGGAATGATTGTCCACATAATAAGGCTCAGGAGGCTTTCGTGCTTTTTCTGCGGCAGAACTGTGGGTTGCACCACGTGGAGGGTGGGGCCTGGGTCAAGGGTTAGTCAGAAGGTTAGTGCACCTCTGACAGCACTCGGGCTGTGCACTGCCCAATCCCCACCTGCAGTCCCCCCAATCTTTCACCGGCTGGGGCACAGTCAGGGTGGATCTGGTTCCAGATCTTGCGCCCGGAAACACAAGGGCAGGGAGGCTGGTTATGCTGCTGCAGAAGCTGTTGCTTTCGGGGAATGAGCCTGACCAGGGGGCGAAGAGCATCTTCCTCGCACTGCAAGGCCTCGGGCTTGGCCGAAAGTAGGGTAGCCCCGGACTTAGCCCCAACTATGTCGCGCGCCTCTGCTCCTCCGATGTGCGGCAGGCGGCGGCGCTGCCAGTCAGCTGGTAAAGCGTCCAGTTGTGGCTTTGAGCTGGGAGCGCCTAGCGTACAGTCAGGCACAGTTGCACATCCTGCGCCTAGCGGGAGCTGAAAGCAGAAAGGCACGCAGGGGTCCGAGGTCGGAAAGAAGGCTTGGGAGGCAAAGGTGCTTCCCCACATTCTTTGGTTGTTAATACAGTAGTTTGCATTGTACTTGGCTAAATGTCTCGAGGACAGGCCAGCACACAGCCGCTCTTTCTGTATTCAACAGTGATGCGCGGCGGCCAAGGCATCCAGGGACTTCGGTGTCCAGATACCGCCACTGCCTTGGGGATAAGAAGACGCTGCACGGAGAGATTAGCTGGGCGTTGGAGTCCTACAAACTGCAGCTTCTCTGTCCCATGACGTCGCACCCACCTGTTCCTTGCAAAATGTAGGAATTGGAAATACGAAGGAGCACCATGCAGACCTCCAGCCTCAGGCCGGTATCCTGCTAAACTGGTGCAAAAGCGCTGGGAGTCTGCAGTGCAGAGGTCAGCGCTCAACCTCTAGAAGGGAAACATCTGGGTGAGAGACTCGTCTCTTTAAGCCAAAAGGCATCAAACATCTCCACTTTGTGAAATATATAGATTATCTATAAACGTTTTGTGATCCACAGTATTTTGTGTTAAGCGCCTGACCAAAAAGATTCTCTGATACTGTCCAATTTTTTCTTCTTATATTAACTTTGAAAAATTACTACTATTCCAAATCAGAAGGATGTTACCCAAAGATGCCATTGTACATCGTTCAATTGCATTTATTGCATTTCAGCCAAGTTCACATTAATACTTAGTGAATCTGAGTATGTGTTGAGAACCTACACTTAAGTTTTGGGGGCTAGAGAGAGAACAATAGTGAAATGTATCAATTTTCTGATTTATTCTGCACATACATTTCATTTCATTTTCCTCAGATGACCCTCTTAAATTCTTTCCCTCCAACATTGCTATTTAACATTCCTTGCAGAAATAATCAAATCACTTGTGAGAAACTTCTCCTGTAAGAATAATCCATCCACATCATATTTGTTTGCATTATGGTTTGATGATGATTTTAATTGTATTGAGTCAAATTCAGTTTAGATGTGCTTTTGTTGTAAGAAGGAGTTTCCTCTAATAATATATGCATTTAGTGATAGAGTTTATTCTTAGATTTTAGGGAAGGACCCTTTTTCCAGTGTGTGTTAGTGTACATATCCCATCTCTTTTAGAAAAATAAATTAGAAAGTCACAAATGATCTAATAGTGTAATTAGTTTCAAAGAATTTCTCTTAGAGGTAACTGTTACACAGACCTAGCACCCCCAACTGCATTTCGATTTAAAATTTTCTAGAATCCATTGTTGCAAGATTTCCTATTTTGACCCCATCAATTCATTTGAATAATCAGCAAAATCATCAGTCTCCTTTCAGGCTCTAAACTGGATTTAAAAGATTGACGTTTCTTAAAACTCAAATCGAGTCGAGCTGCAACTGCATTCCCAGAGGGACCTGTATCATACACACACTGTATAATGAAATACACTTTTATTTTATTAGTGGGTAATTTATGCTCAGAATCTCAAAAAACTAATAGAATTATATAAACAACTGGGAGAGGGAACCAAATAAGTCACGAGATAAAATTATTTAGCTAAAGTTAGAATGGAAATAAGACACTGCATTTAAAAATGGTTGACTTGGACATCAACTTGTTGGAAGAGAAGACAAATACAAAGCACTAGTGAGAAAGAAATACAAGGACTAGTGAGAAAAAAAACCCCGAAAGATTCTTTTAGCAACAACATAATCACTGCAATAGATAGAAGGGTTGTTGCACGTCTGTTTATTGTCAAGACTCTCCAAATGTGTGAGATCAAGAACTCAAGAACTTTCTCCTATTAATACACTTTCAGAGTTAAACCCTTTAATCCCAGCATTTGTCTCCAATTTCTATAAAATAAGGCCTTTTCTTTAGAAAGGCAGTAAAAAAGAGGTTATAGTATGGATTAAATTGAAAATTTCCAGTAAGACCTTGAGGTTCAAGAGCAATTCAGTTACTGTCTATTCATTAAGAATTGTGTTTCTTTTCTTTTCTTTTCTTTTTCTTTTTTCTTTTTTCTTTCTTTTTTTTTTTTTTTGATGGAACCAGGGATTGAACTCAGGCCCTTGCACTTGCCAGGGAATCGCTTATTCTACTGAGCCATCTCCCTGGCCCCAAGAATTGTGTTTCTTTTATGGAGATAGAATCACTTGTTTACTAAAGCAACTTTCTGGATCTTTGTATTTCTGGAGGACTCAGAGTGAGAAAGTGTAGTCAACTGACCTAAAATGGAAGGAGAGGTTTGTCACTATCATGTTAGGATCCAATGATGAACTTATCTCTAAAGGAAGTAGTTTGAATTTAGCATATTGCAAAATATTTCTCAGACTGTACACCTGGACAGGACGTTCCTTCAGAGTAAAGACTGGTTTGAATAAGTGGATCTTCCTAGAACCTGTATTCAGGCCTGGCATCATGGATGCCTAGTAAATGTGGAAAGATGGGGTGGAGTGACAAAGTGGAACAGCAATAAAGATGAGTTTCTATGAGATTAGCAGAATTTAACACAATGAAAACGTGAGTCTCTCTCTCCCAGGTGAAAACCACAGGAAATTGAGAAAGAAATCAAGGCAAAATAATGTAACTGAGTAGAGCAAAAAGTTCCTTCTCTACCTCAGGTTTCGGCTTGTCTAACGAGCGTATGTACTCCCAGAAAAGAATAATTTAGCTCTATAGGAGTATTGACCCAAATGGGCTTCTTGCCTCTGAAAGGCCGAGGGCGGGAATGCCACGCGCAGAGGTGTAAGACCGTCTTTCCCGCTTATTTAGAGGACACGCGGGGCATTGGCTTTATGGAAACTACATCTCCCATCGTGCCGCGTACGGGCGTGGGCATCCGTGAGCGCGGTCTTGACGCGATGCTTCTTGGGAGTTGGAGTTTCTGCTCCTCCAGTGTGTGCGAGCTGCCTCAATTTGGAGCGTGGTGAGACCACGTGATCGGAAAACAGCGGCTTCCCTTTGAGCCGGAACAGGATGACTGCCTTGACCGCGGCCGGCAACCGACAGGACCAATCGGCTGCTTAGAGTTAGCCGTTGGCGTTTGAAACCAACCAATTACAGGCCTGCCCTGGAACTTCCTTTTCGCCTCCATCTCCTAGCGGGAGAGTGCTCCGAGGGAACCTAGGAGGCGGCCGTAGCTAGAGACTGAGGCGTTTGCTTCTCTGGGGAGACCAAGGTAGTGGGGCGAGGCGACAGGGCGCTGAGGGGGCTCTCCACAGACTTCCCGCGCTCGCAGCAGGCGGGGCCGTGCGCGCGCGGGGGAGGGCATTCGCTTTGGTCGTTTTTTTTTTTTTTCTTTTATTATTTCCTGGGCCCGCTCGGGGAGTGGGGAGGAAAACGAAGGAGTGTGGACGGGTGGGCAGCCAGACTCGGAGGTGCGCAGAGGGAGCCCGGCGCGGGCGGCGCGGGCCAGGCGGCTCGCGCTGTGCCTGCTGACTGGAGGGGCTGGGCGCGTTCAGACTGCGCAGGCGCAGACGCGGCGCCCAGGCTCTGGCCCCTGTGCCGGGTGGGGCGCCCCACCTACGCGGCCCGCGCGCGGCTGGCCCGGCCTTCCCTGGCCTCGGAGCTCTTGGGAACTCTCGCCCGGCGCGTGTTTTGCAGATGACGGGTTCTAACGAGTTCAAGTTGAACCAGCCGCCCGAGGACGGCATCTCTTCTGTGAAGTTCAGCCCCAACACCTCCCAGTTCCTGCTGCTCTCCTCCTGGGACACGTCGGTGCGCCTTTACGATGTGCCAGCCAACTCCATGCGGCTCAAGTACCAGCACACTGGCGCGGTCCTGGACTGCGCGTTCTATGTAGGTGGCCGCAGCTGACGCTCCTGCCCGCTGACAGTGTTGCGATAGAGCCAGTTGGCAGCTCAGTGTCGTTAGGACTGGGGTAGAGGCTCCTGCGAGGGGCATTATTATTTCGACGCACCTGAGCTGTTGTGGAATACTGTACTTGCCTTGAACTAGCTGTGGGTTTTGTGAATTATGTGTGTGGTGGGATTGGAGACTTGAAAGCTCAGTCTGCCCTTTGAGGGTCAGATTTCTGGAGCAATCCTGTAACCTGTCTGGACATAAGATCCTTGTATTTGAAATTTGCAGCAAGATTAATGGCAACTGTATTAAAAGTAACCTTGAAAAGGAATGTTTATTTGCTATCAGCTATAGGATTCAAAGGGATAGAGGAGACCTCTTTAAGTGCTGATTGTTTTTGTGTGCTATTTTGTATAGGTATTATAAGTGAGTATTCTGAGGATAAACTTGAGTAGGTGGCTGGAGAAACAGAAATTTTGAAATGCTCTCTGAAGCTTTGTGAAACTTTATTTTATAGGATCCAACACACGCATGGAGTGGGGGATTAGATCATCAGTTGAAAATGCATGATTTGAACACTGATCAAGGTAATATGATCATATTTTTACCAGTTTTTCTACATGTATATTGATTATGTTAAGGTATAATTATGCAGGCAGAGTAAGTGATGAATTACTTGATAACCAAGTTGAATAGGTGCAAGCAAAAGTGGTGTGAATTTCAGATTCTTTTGTTTAAATGGCACTCATTTTATTTTGATCACAAAACATTTTTTCAGTAAAGCCCATTTGATTACTGTAAGTGTTTACACCAAGTAATACTTGATCCTTACCTTATCCTTAGGAAAGTGGATCTTCTAGTGGTTTGGCTTTCATTAAGATTTTCCAAGACAGTGCTAGTGTTTTAGGATTTTATTTTTCAGAAACTAGTTTAAACTGAAGGAAAGTATGTTTTAAAAAGTATAAAATAGCTCATCATGTTTATATCAGACTTGCTTATATGTGTATCAGTAGAATATAGGTTAATTGTATTTGGAAGGAAGTGATTTCTAAGCATCTCAGAACGAAATGATTTACTCAGATTTTTATAATATTGAGGCAGAGTAGAGATTGAAATAGCAGCCCAAACACTCAGAGTTCTCTGAGTGTCATAGATATACATTAGACATAGTATATCTAAAAGAGATGGCAGGGCATAGGGAAGCAACTGTATAGAGACCAGATTGGATAGCAAAAGATTGGATGGGAAGATGGTGAAGGTTTTTTTTTTTTTTTTTTTTTTTTAGAAAAGGCTTCCAGGGGCTGGAGAGATGGCTCGGTGGTCTAAAGCACCTACTTAGAACAAGCTTAGCAAAAGCATCAGGGACTGCGGTTCAATCCCCCAGCACCACATGCCAGCCAGCCCTGCCCCCTGGTGGGCTGAGCTGGCCTCTCTCTCTCTCTCTCTCTCTCTCTCTCTCTCTCTCTCTCTCTCAAATAAATAAATAAATAAATAAAAATTAAAAAAAAAAAGAAAAGGCTTCCAGGGCCCGGGGAGGTAGCTCAGTAGAATAAGCACTTGCCTGGCAAGCACGGGGCCCTGAGTTCAATTCCTAGTACTGCAAAAGAAAAGAAAAAGCATCTAATCAGAAGAGGTTTCTGTATGAAAGTCACATAACTTTTAATTGCTTATGTTTGGTTTTGCTTGTCAGTATTTTGCCCCATGTAATAAATTAGCAGCAGGTTGAAGTCCTACTTATTTGAAAACTTGGCTAAAGCGGACTTAAAAGATTTTATAATAGACTGATTTAAGAAAATTAGTTGCTTCTCTGAAGGTCATTGCCAAACCTCAAGAGACACAGTAGTACTTTGGTTCACAAATGCTTTTCTTTGAGAATAGTTTGCCAAAATTTTGGTTTTTTTGAAAATTACATGGGGTGAAGAACATAACTGCAGCCATCTTTTTGCCCAAACACAAAAGTGGCCATTTTCCTCAGGATTTTTGAATGAATTAAGTTTGTGAACTGAGGTCCCACTGTACTTTCCTTTTTTTTTTTTTTATGTATTTTTTTAAATTTTATTTATTTATTTAGTGTGTGTGTGTGTGTATGTGTGTGGCCAGCTCAGCCCACCAGGGGGTGGGGCTGGCTGGTATGTGGTGCTGGGGGATTGAACCGCGGTCCCTGTGGTTTGCTAAGCTTGTTCTAAGTAGGTGCTTTAGACCACTGAACCATCTCACCACCCCCTAAAATGATTTTTAAAGAGGTAGTGTTCTTCAGAATCAAAACCATACACTATTTATTCTTCTGTCCTTGGAAGATTGTATGTATTGTGGCACAAAGATATTTAGTAGTTAGTTGAATGAATAAATGAAATATTGTGAAAGTTGAAATTGATAGGGAAGAAGTTATATACTGGAAACTTGACTTGGCGTGAAATACAAGTGAAAGTAATTCATAATTGTGTGACCAAATAAATTTCTTGTAAGTGTTGGTTAAATGAAAAGATGAGTGTTGTCAAGATCCAAAAGTAGAGTTTTCCACTCATCTATTCAGGTTTTGTTTGAACACCTAACATGAATTAGATAATGTACTAGATAAACGCAGAGGTACAGAGTTGTGGTAAGAAGCCTAGAGTCAGGAGGGGATGATAGTAGATCTGCTATCATTGTATTGTGATGTGAAATTCAATTTAATCTTTATATGTGCCGTGCTAATAAATAGAACTGTACAGTGTAAGGTCAATAGGGAAGTCATCTATGCCTACTTTTGTAGTCATAGATTTTTCTGGATGCTGACCAGTCATGGAGTTGGAGGAACAGAATCATTACAATTCAGGAATATTTATTTAGTAGAAGGATTAAGCTTTTGTTTCCTTTTTTCTTTTTTTCTATAGAAAACCTTGTTGGAACCCATGATGCCCCAATTAGATGTGTTGAATACTGTCCAGAAGTGAATGTGATGGTCACTGGAAGTTGGGATCAGACAGTTAAATTGTGGGATCCCAGAACTCCTTGTAATGCTGGGACCTTCTCTCAGCCTGAAAAGGTAGGATCTTAATATTTATCAGAATTATGGTCCATGCAGTCATTTGTCAAAAAGTGTGTTTGATGAATATACTGTTTCACTTAGAGATTAAAGGTTGATAGCGTCTATTTTGTAAACCCAACTATATAGAAACGCTGTAAAACAAAGGAAATTTGGGATTTGGGTCATCTTTTTCTGTCAGTCCTGAGACTCAAACTAGGGTGCGCTAGTATAGATGAACATGTTTATACACATTGTTAATGCTTCAAATCTTAGGACTGAGTGGCCGCTTACTACATTTTCACAGAAGTCATGTAGCCAAAAATTGTCAGGTTTTTTTTTTTTTGTGGAACTGGGGATTGAACTCAGACCCTTGTGCTTGCTAGGCAAGCGCTTATTCTACTGAGCCATCTCCCTGGCCCCTGTCAGTTATTTTAAAATAGATTTGATGTGATCAAATAAGAAAATAAGATGGAACATCACTCATTTCATTTGATTATTGGTGAAATTGAGTTATCTTTTCCAATTTAATGAGAAAGGTATCTTGTGTTCCTTAGCTTTTACTTTGTGCGTCTGTATGATCACAGTTGTGACTGAAAAACCAGTGAATTTAATTTAAATTAATCCTGTTTAGGTTAAAAAAAATTACTGCAGCCAGGTGTGGTGGTGCATGCCTTAATCCCATCTCACTTAGGAGGCTGAGGCAGGAAGACGGCTATGAGTTGGAATTTTGAGGTAAACTTGTGCTACGTGGGGAGTTGGAGGTCAGAATTGCTTAGACCCGGTCTCTACCTCACATCTT